GTTAGGGGTCTTCTTTATACACTATCTGACTAAAATCTTCACCCCACACCTACAGGAAAGGCTGGCCTCTCAACAAAATGAAATTTTGGGTCGATGTTTTTGAAAGAGCCGAAGTTATGGTAATACAAAAGTTCACTTCCGGAAATAGTCATCACAAAACACTAAGGTGACGGTATGCCGTACATAGGCTCTAGATCTAGATCTAGATCTAGATCTAGACTAGGCTCAAACAAGGGGGTGGGAACTACCGAAAAAGCACCACAATTCCTGTAAAATCTTACAAAAATAGGTGCCTTGCGATCCTTGGTGATTTTTCTCAGGCCTCAAGACTAGATATAGATGTCTAGATTTATAATTTATAATCTAGATCGAGTCGTAATTTTTGTAAACACAGCAGACAGCGACGCAGCATCCGTGGCCGGGCCGGTCAAAACATACCAGATTTATTTAACTTTTACAGTTGCCATGTAGATCTACATTAACGTACGTGCAATGGGTTTCTTTTTTAAATGCCTAAAGAATTTGACAAATGGAAGAATATCAAATAGTTAAAAGGAACGAACAACAATAAACATGATTTTGGGAAATTTTAAAAATTCTTTATTTCCTTGTGGAGGGCAAAATTATGGTCTCAAATCTCCATCGGCTAAAACAGTTATAATAACTTTCTAATCTGGATATAACAATGTTTCTACAGAACAATCTTAAAGAGTGTTATTTGATTTGAAATATTTTATTTTGCCTTACTCAAAATAAAAGTTGCAAGAAATAATTGGCTGCTATAAATATGCTAATTTTCTTTCAAGTTTCCCTTTAAACTGAAACAAAATTGTTATTTTAATCAAAAATCCAAATTGAAAAAGAATTTTTAATTTACAATATGTTGTATGAAATTAAAAAGCGTAACGGAACATAACAAAACGAAAAACAAATAAAATTGTAAACATGGATTGAGTGTACCAGTATCACCAGCCACTGTCTTTCACTACACACTTTCTCTTTTAAGAAAAAAAGAAATGAAAGATTGCTTGCGACATGTAATGAAAGAATAACGTAAGGAAACAATTCTAAGACATGGATCCAGACTGCAGATCAAGTGAGAATCGAATGAAACAAGCTCTAAAGGTGTTATCTTCTGAGGTGCAAGGTAAGTTCCCTTGTCACTTTTGTGTCGGTTTCCAGCAGATATGCTAGAGGTCTAATAATTTATTCAATAATAGTGGGTGGATCACACAAAGTTCAGGACTCTTTTAGAGTTTGAGGTGGAACAACGAACCTAATTTGTCTACTAGATCTAGATTCTGAGTGGTTTTTGTTGTATGGCATGAAATATCATGCAGGCTAACTTTCACTTTCGGTCAGTCATTGCTAAGTATTGAATCCCCTCCCACCCTCTTTCCGACTCTCTTAGATAATATGAAGGCTAATGTCAGGCACTGTCCCTTTTGGTTTGAAAATATGTCCTTCCCTGTTCCTGCAGGCGAACATTTTAACATTAACCTCCCTGCGAGATGAATGAAGGGGAGGACTTCCATTATAACAAGTGACCACTATTTATATTATCTTGACATAGTTAATAACTAGGTAGTTTGGTACGGGCCGCGCGCGCCCGCTCTGACCGTGCCGCGACCGCCGTTACGCGCGTGTGACTAATTCTGCTACCCACGTGGCACGTCATATTACGGCGACCGTTATTACGCCATTTAGATAGCGTCTTTTGTTCTCATCCGGGTACTCGTTTGAAAGGGGAGATGCTTATCTTCACAATGGCGTTTGTTTCATGAGGATCGGTTGAGTGGTTCCAGAGTTGTGATTCTTGGAAAATAAGGTAAGTTTGAACTTTTTAAAACTTACTTAATATAAAAATGACACGCAAAAGCTTAAAGGTTGTTTTTTTTCAATATCTTATCTATCTTGTGTGCAAATATGAAGTTTCTAGCTTTAGCAAATTTTGAGTTTGATCGCCCTAAGAATGCTCACCCGATTGTAGAAATTAGTATCACCGGGCGGTCGGTCGCCGTGGACTTTGACCCCGACGAACGGGAAAGGGCCGTTATCGCCTAGGGGGAATCTAAATGATGGGTATCGTTTGTTAACGGTTGCGTTTATGGGGTTGTATTTATTTTTGTTGAACTTTATGTCAATATATTTTAATTTGTGTGATATTTATATACTTTGTGGTACTATTGTCAATAAGCTTGACTCGAAGGCTGGGTTGATTCTTTGCGTGCTTCCTTTCAAGTGGTGGTATCGTTCTCCCCGCACACACCGCGCACACCGCACACACCGCGCACACCGCGCACACCGAATCCACGCGAGAATGCCGATATTGACGTCCCTATTCATTTATTTATAAATTCCTAACTCTAACCCTTGGAGCAACTTGTTGGGGACGGATTTATTTCTGCTCTTTCATAGAGCTGTATATTTTTTCGTGTTCAGTGTACAAAAAGGAAGATGAGAATGGAGTTTAGTTTAAGTAAGTCGTAGAGATACACACTGAGTTTGTTTAACTTCTTTACCTAAAAAGTTAAATTCTTTTTTTTTGGTGCTCCCCCC